TTAGTAAATTTTGTTCTTTGACAGTTTTGTACTGCTTCTCCACTCCCTGTCAGTTTCTCTTCTTTTCTGCAATTTCCTTTCTATATCCATTAATTTTTGTTTTGTTTTTCGCTCCAGAGTCTAACTAGGGCATTTCTAGTCACCTTGGGCTTGGACCAACCATTAAAGCTGATTATGCTCACCAGTGGCTGTATAGTTGGGGTTTACACTTTCTTCTTTAGTTGCTGGTAGTTCAGAAGTAAGTGGTAGGGCTTCTGAGTCTATTTCCTATCCATACTTGACTGTACTGCATCCTGATATGTGTGGGCCCAGTACCAGTAGGTGCAGTTACTGTGAATTCATAATGACATCCTGTATCCTGTTTAGGAGTTAAGTTCTGCAGTCCTTTACCCTGTCCTCTAGTTCTTTGTACATTCTTTCCACCCCTTCTTCCAAAATGTTCTACAAGCCTTAAAGGGTTGGTACAAATGTCTTGTTTAGGGCTGACCATTTAAATTACCTTCATTCTTAGAGTCTCTGTGTTTACCTCTGTTTGCTACAGAGAGATTAGGATGAAAGTATAACAAATGGAGTCCTGTCCAGGTGGAGAGATGCCTTTATCTAAGCCATTGAATTTAATCCATTGGGCCAAGCTAGGGACCCAGCTAGGGGACCACTCCCAGGAAGCCAGGTTCACCCCAAGATAATGTACTTTTCCTTTCTAGAATTTCTGCCTCCTAGGACATACACTCCTCATGAGCTGCCGTAATCTTTGGCTGGGTCTGCCAGCCCTTCCTTAGATAGAAAGGCATAACTGTTTCCTTTTCTTCTTTTCTTCCAGATGCTGGCCAGAGCCCAAGTATGCTTTTAAACTCTAACTAATGCTTTGGGCCTTCTTGCTCTTTCTAAAGCTCTCTTCCCTGCTGTGTGGCTGCCTGCTGCCAGGTGGCTGACCTCCATGCTGCCCTATCTCAGACACATGGCTTTTGTTCCTTTCCTTCTCCATTTCTCCCTCCTTTCCTGGCAACTGCAAGATTTACAGCTTGCTTGCCCTGGGGGTTTCTTTTTAAACTCTAATAACTTGTCCTCAAGATTCTGTTTGAGTCTGTTCTTTGCCCTTGAACTTCCCTTTGTGTCCTTTCTTAAGTTCTTTGATTAATAAAACCAAGAACCCCAAGAAGGGACCCTGATTTCTCTTGTATTATGATGCCTTCATGGGACCTTCCCAAGATTTCTGGTAACACTTCTTTCCTGCCTTTTAATTCTGATCATCGTGTACCCTAGGCAGTGTTAAGAGTTGCCTTTGTCTATGGGTATAAACGTAGGTATTTAAAAGGCAGTTTGATGATTTCCAGTTTAACTATTACTATTAGCTCTTAGGGCTCAAAACCTCTTCAGTCAGAGGTTTTTGCCCAGGTGTATTGTACTAGGCATGGCTCTCTTTTTGTGAAGCAGGCCCCACATCCAATCAGAGAATGTTTTGTTACATCCATAGTAGCTGTGCCACTATTGCACTACCAGGCACACCTTGCCTGGCTAGTTGGTGTTGCAGTTCACATAGGAGTTAAAACTGTTGATATCACCAGATGGTGGAGCATTTGGGAGGAAGAGGCAGGTGGATCTCTGTGAGTTTGAGGCCAGCCTTGTCTACAAGAATGACTTGCAAGACAGCCAGGGCTACATAGAGAAGTCCCATTTCAAAAAGCAAAAACAAAAGACTGTTGATACCTTTAACCACTCAGTAGCCAGTAAACTTTGAGTATTGCTTTGTTTATAGTATAGCAATGACCATTTTTTTGGTGGGGGAGGGTGGAGGGAGACAGAGTCTCAGAGTCTGAGGATTTCGGCATGTAGCCCTGAATGGCCTGGAACTTCCTTTGTAGACCTGGCTAGCCTTGAACTTATTTATATCTACCTGCCTTTGCCTCATGAGTGTTGACAGTATAAATGTGGACCACCACACCCAGCCCAACTTTTGTTCTTGAAATTCAGATTAAAAATTTAAATTACCATATATATCCCTTGCCTTTACATTTTTATTTTATTTTATGGTGCTAGAGATTGAACTCAGTACTTCATATAAGTACTTATGAAGTACTTAGGCATATAAGTACTTAGGCAAGTGATCTTCAATTAATCTCTACTACCCTTTCATTCATTAACTTTTAGCAAAAGGATAATAAGTGATAATTAAAAACTTCTTTTTAAGATTTATTTTATGTGTATGAGTGTTTGCTTGCGTGTATATCTGTGCATCATGGGCAAGCCTGGTGCTCTCAGATGCCAGAAAAAGGCCTTTGATCCTCTGAAACTAGAGTTATAAATGGTTGTGAACTGCTATTGGGTTCTGGGTACTGAACCTGCATCCTCTACAAGAAGAACAAACCGTCGAGCCATCCATCTCTCCAGCTCTGTTATATATTTTCTGGAGCCTCATTTTTTTTTTTTCCCACAGAATTTTAAAGTTTTATTTTATGGATATGGTTGTTTTGTCTACATTTCTCCAACTGTGGTGTGTGTGTGTGTGTGTGTGTGTGTGTGTGTGTGTGTGTGTGTGTGTTACTCAGAGTTCAAAAGAGGGCATCGGTTCCCAGCAGTTGTTAGCCACAATGTGCTGCTGGGAATCAAACCCAGGTTCTTTGCAAGAGCAGTCAGTGCTCTTAATCTCTGAGCTGCTCTCCAGCCCCAATTCATAATTTTTCAAACATTTATTATTATTGTCTTGTGCCCATGCTGTATATGTGAGTGTTTTTGCCATGACATGTTTGTGAAGATTGTCTTTGGGGTATCATTTCTCTCCTCCTTCCTTCACACGGGCTTTGGAGAATCAGACTCAGGCTGCCAAGCTTATATGGCAAACACCTTTACCTGTGGAGCTATCTTGTTGGTCTGAAGTGATTATTTTTCCTTTAATTTTATCTTCAGATTTGGGGAGACTATCTAATAAATCTACTAAAAGGAGAACTGGAAATTATACAGAATATAAAACTGCTCCCCCCTTGAATCTTGCAAAACATGCCAGGCTCTGGGTGGTGAGGATAATGACAGCTGCCCAGTCAGTCAGATCTGCTGTGCTGCATGCTTGTGTTCTGTCACTTCCTAACAGAATGTAAGGAACATTGATTCATTTGGGTGACATCCTTTACATAAGCAGAATAGGGGATCTAGACTGTGATTGTGAGCTAAAAAGAAATTTGATTTCTTAGCTGTAGGACCTGGTTTATTGTTGGCGGCCATACAAGTTCTCCAGCCACCAACTACTGTGAGCTCCTTTTCTGACAGTGGCAGTACAGAGTTGTTCTGCTGATGGCTCATCTGTGAGCTAATTCTACCCTGCTTGGCTTTGGATGCTTGGTAATAATGTGCCTTAATTGCAGGTCACTGAAGCCAAACTAATTGCTTGTTGGGCACTTAAATTGCCTTTTTAATTTGATGCATAATGGTTCTTCTAACAGAAGCACACAATATATTGTTATCTAAGTACAACTCATTAGTATCATTGTAGACACAACAGGAAGCCTGATTTTGTTCATAATTTAGCTACTATAGGAAAATGAAAAGACATTGCAGACAGATTAATTAACAAGTACTGTTTTTTAAGTGTGCTTTTTTATCCACTTCAGAAACTATACATAAAATATTGCTATGGGCTGGGTGGTGGTGGGGCATGCCTTTAATCCCAGTACTCAGGAGCCAGAGGCAGGTGGATCTCTAAGAGTTCGAGGCCAGTCTGGTCTACTAAGCAAGTTCCAGGACAGGTTCCAAAACTACACAGAGAAACCCTGTCTCGAAAAACCAAAAAAAGAAAAAAAAAATGCTTGCTATACTTTTTATTTGTGTGATGGCCATGTGTGTGGGGTTTATGCACTTGTGTGTTTGAGGGATGGGCTGTATGGCCAGGTAAGTGAGTGTACCTGTGTATGAATGGAGGCCAGAGGATGATGTTGGATACCCTCCTTTATTAGTCTCCACATGGTCCCCTTGAGACAGTCTCTCTTGTTGGCAACCAGCAAGCCCCAGGGATCCCCTAGTCCCATAGTGTTTATATTACAGGTATGTGCAGCCACAGCCTGGCTTTATCCGTGGAAGCTGGGGATTTGAACCCAGGTTCTTAAGCTTGCATAACAAATATTCCTACCCACTGAGTCATCTTCCTAGCCCCATGATAACTTTCTTTATCAAGGATTGTTTTGTGCTTCAGATATATTTTACATGGCAATAATGATATGAGCATTTGAAACAGTCACTTATTTCAGTCCGTGGGATTTACCCTACATCCAGTAACATTGTATTTCATAAAAAAATAAAAATAAATGAATGTTATCCTCCCTTCACAAATATGATTGTGTAGGAATCTTTTCATATGTTGGTGAACAGTTAATACTTGTTTTCTTGTTGTTTTTTGGACTAACTAGTAGGACAGTGCTCTGCACAGGATTTCCTTTCAACTTTTCATTAACAATTTCATTAATCTAGTTGGTATTTTTTGAGAAACTACTGAGTGCCTGGAACTGTTGTAGGTGTTGGGAGATACCACAATTTGTATTTTTATCTTTATGATAAATATTTAGCTCAAGAGGAAAAAAAAATCTCTGAAGTGAATTTTAATAATCCTATTTTGTTTTTTAGAAATAGAATACGTGTCTTTGTTACTTGTCTGTTGCTGTGACAAAACTCCATGGCCCAGACAACTTACACAAGAAAGCACTTCATGGGCTAATGGTTTCAGAGGGTTTGAGCTCATGAGGGTGGAGCAGAGGAGGTGTGGTGGCAGGAATGTGCAATGGGGAGGTGGCAACATGTGGGTGATGACACAAGTCTTTCTTCCCCCAAGACCACAGCTCTTAACCCTCTGACATTTCTAAAGCCGAGGACTACATAGGCAAACAGGAGCCCAGGGAGCCCATTCTCCCCCAGGCCATCACAGTAACAAGTAGCTTCTACTAAAATTTTAATATATTCTTTTCTTTTTAATTAAAGAAATTAGTTTGTTACCTGAATATTTGTTTTTCTTTTGGTAGGTTATTTCTTATGAGGGTCATGGACATTCCATATTTAAACTTGGAAGGGCCAGACTGTAAGTATATTTTGACCTCCTCATTTCATCTCTAGTTATCAGAGTCTGAAAGGGTTACCAGGAAAAAGTGCTGACAAAGAGCTCTTTACTTAAAAAGATGGGCAGTGGTTTGTGGTTGGTAGGGATTACATACAAAAGTTCATGAGACCCTTGAGCCTTCATTACATTTCCAGGCTGTATATAAATATATCTCATAGCCTAGAAAAAATATATATTCACAGTTTCATCCCCCAAACTTGAATCATTTCCAATACATATTTTAAAAATGTGCTGTCTATGTCAGTTGTTAAATTTTCTGCTTTCTAGTTATTTATGCGTATATTTAAATTAAGCAAGTTGATTTTTTTTTAATTGCTGTCAATCAAATTGTTGTGAATTACCTGACGCATAAGAACAGCCTGCTAATGCCTGGATGTGGCAGTGTACACTTGGAATCCCAGCACTTGGGAGCAGAGGTAACACTACTGGATTTTTGTGTCAGCCATGTCTACGTGGTGGTACAAATTCTAATGATCTTCTTCGGAGTTGTTTGGTAACCATGAAACATCTGTGATAATTCTTCAAGGTACTGTGGGTAGTTTAATGAAAGAATCTGTGCTTGCCAGTATGGTGATGCACACTTATAACCCTAATATTCTGTGGGCTGAGGCAATCAAAAAACCTCTGACTTGCCTTGGTCCCTTGCCAGAAGCCAGCCTTGTCCACCTTGTTCTACTGGAGGTCACTGCTTAGGCTAGACTGTTGGCCAGAGAGTCACAGGATGGATCCTCTTGTTTATCCCTCCCCAGTACTAGCACTTGGAGCACACTCCTTTATGTCCACCTTTTTATGAGGGTCTGGAGATCAAACATAGGCTTGTGTGTCAAGCGTCTTACTAACCGAGCTATTTCTCTAACCAATAATTTCATCACTTTTCAACTGTTGCTTTTCTGTTACTTTTTATCTTGTAGTACAGCCTAAACGTGATCATGTTCTCCACGTGACATTCCCCAAAGAATGGAAAACCAGTGACCTTTACCAGCTCTTCAGCGCCTTTGGTGAGTACAAAAAAGTTGCCATGACTGTTTTAAGGTTTGCCCTTCTCCTGGTGTGTAGATGGTCAGAAGGAGATCATGTAAAAAATTTCTAAGTCCATATGTAGGGTTAATTTCAGCCACAGAATTGTCCTGTCCTAATATGATCAGAGGTGCATTGTGTAACCCTTGCTGACAGAGTACATGGACCATCACTATGTCTGCCCTTACTGCTGATGAGGGAAAACAAACCTAGACCAGAGTAAATAATTTTTAAGACTAAATTCAGAAAGAATGTTTGTTTTATACTGACAAGCAGTCTCTACATGAGATTAATAATGAAAGCAGCAAACACAGATGTCTGAACAGACCAAGACTCCAGGTGTGTGTAAGGTAGACAGTTCCTCTCATTCTCGGGCCACAAGTCATGTAGTTATATCTCTCAGGGTTTGTGAATGGGCATCTTTATTCTTTTTGGGAATTCTTGAATAAAGTGAAGGCTGAAAACTGATCAGTAGTAGGATGCTCAGTAGTATTTGTATATTCTCAAAAGATTTACTATGCAGATATTTAAGAAAATATTCATAGGCTGATGAGGTGGCTCAGTGTTTGTTGTGCAAACTTGGTGATCTGAGTTCAATACCTGGAACCTGCATAAAAGTGAAAGGAGAAACCCAACTCCACAAAGTTGTCTCTGACCTTTTTTTTTTTTTTTTTGTTTTTGTTTTTGTTTTTATTTTTCGAGACAGGGTTTCTCTGTAGCTTTGGAGCCTATCCTGGCACTTGCTCTGGAGACCAGGCTGGCCTCGAACTCACAGAGATCAGCCTGCCTCTGCCTCCCGAGTGATGGGATTAAAGGCCACCAATTCCCAGCATGTCTCTGACCTTTTATATGTGTGCTGTAATAGACATAATAGTAATTGTCTTAATTAGGGTTTCTATTGCTGCAGTGGAACACCTTGACCAAAAAGCAAGTGTGGGGAGAAGGGTTTGTTTGGCATACACTTCCACATTGCAGTCTATCACTGAAGGAAGCCAGGGCAGGAACTCAAACAGGGCCTGGACCTGGAGACAGGAGCTGATGCAGAGGCCGTGGAGGGGTGCTGTTTACTGGCTTGCTCTCCGTGGCTTGCTCAGCCTGCTTTCTTATAGCAGCCAGGAACAGCAGCCCAGGGATGGCCCCACAAACAATGGGCTGAGAGCTACCTCATCAGTCACTAAATCATTTTCTTAAAAATGCCCTACAGGCTTGCTTACAGCCTGATCTTAAGAAGGCTTTTCTCTTAATTGAGGCTCCCTCCTCTTTGATGACTTTAGCTTGTATTGGCATGAAACCATCCAGAACAGTAATGAATAAAATAATATACTTAAAGTGTATATGGAGAGGTATAGACATTTAAGAAAACATTTAAAGCATATTATAATACTTAGATTAAACAAGGATAGGAAATAGGATCTTGTATAATTAACACTATTTTTAAAAACAACATAGAGAAAGCAGAAAGAAATGAAGGAAGACATATTCTACATTCACCACTGAATATTTTATTATTATTCATTAAAATATCTGTATGGTTTTTTTTTTTGGCCTGCATTTCTATATTAGCACCATGTGTATGCAGTGCCCCAGAGGTCAGAAAAGGGCATCGGATCCCCTGATACTGCAGCTGTGAACCTCCATGTGGGTGCGGGGGAATTGAACCCAGGTCCTCTGAAAGAGCAGTCAGTGCTCTTAACGGCAGAGCCATCTCTCCTACCATATCACTGAGTATTTTGCAGATGTTCTTTTTGTTTTCTAACCTTTCCTGTCTTTTCAAAAATACCACAAATTACAGTTAAAAACTGTGAAAGCTGGTGTTAAAAAAAAAAAAAAAGCAGGCGTATTTCTAGAAAGTCATCTTGTAGATGATCTCTGCCCTTTGAAATCCTACCCCACTTTTTAATTTAGCTGCAGAGAGAGAAAGGCAGTGGCCCCAGGCTCATCTCCTTTGGAAGTGCCTGCTGTTTTCATATGTTTTGATCCTATATAGTCAGGCTTTAAGTGCTAAAGTAAGTTAAATGCTGCAGCTAGGCATTTTTATTTTGTCTCAGTTTAGTTAACTAAAACAACTCTGTCATGTATTTTTTGTTTTTTGGTGGTGGATAACTCCATAAAAATATATTTGATGGTAAAGGTCTACAACCACAGCATTAGAAAGGCTTTTCTGACTGTTTAGAAATTCATTGAGCTTGGTGGGTGTGATAGGACAGAGGCAGAAGGATCTCTGTGAGTTCTAAGCCAGCCTGGTCTACAGAGGAAGCTCTGGAACAGCCAGGATTAGATAGAGAAACCCTACCTTTAAAAAAGATCATTGTGTGGTATGGACTTTGGATCTAGTTAATTTTGGTGTGTGATTTTTTTTTTTTTTCAAGTTCTTTACAAAAAACGTTTCAGTAAGTCAAATAAACATTAACTGTGTGACCTTGGGCATGTGTTCTCGAATCAGAAACAACACTAACTGTAATAGCAATAAGAACATCTTTGTGGCCTTGGCATGGTACTAGGATGGAAAGAGCTGGCCCTGGAAGGTGCTCAGCACTGTAGCAGCAACTGCTATTCAGAAGTTGACTAGCACTTTTTATCTAAAGAGGCAGCTGCCCCCTCGAGGCAGAGAGGCAGCCAGCCTACTGGCAGGCAAGTCAGTGTGTCCTCTTACTGGGAAGCTGCAAGTGAGAGATTTTGTACTGTTTTGTTTTTCACTTTGACAGGTTTTAAAAATTTCCCAGCCTTTGAAAGTCTTAGAAGAATGAATTTTCTTTTATTGTTAAATTCCAGTGCTGCTTACCCATTGTTAAAGTCTGGTGCTCTGTATATTCCCAAGGACAGTGGTGGCAGAAGCACAAATTCTCATCTCCTCTGCAGGTGCCAGGGCTCTGCCTTGGGTTCTCTTTCTGCTTAGACATACTGTTTGCTTCAGTGTAGTACTTTTTGCTACTGTTTCTCACTGACTGTCTCTGTCTTGGTTTTTCTCTCTCCAAATCCTTAATCTTTTAAATTACAGGTGTGTATGCATGTATTCTCGTGCACATGTATGTGATGGATTGCATGTGAAAATCAAAGTCAGAGGACAACTGGTAGGAATCAGCTCTCTTCCATTTTGGAAATGGTCAAATTTGGCCGAAACACTTTTATCCACAGAGCCATCTCAATAGCTTTCCCGCTCTGCATTCTTCTTTTCCTTGTCCTCCATTCTCATTTCCTGGACTGAACACTCAATTTTCCTTCTGTCAATTCAAAATCAACATTCATATTCAAAGTCTGTGTCTTTGGAGCAGCTTACTTTTGGTTGCCATTGGAAGCTCACCACAGCCTGGTGTGTTATGGAAAATGGCCTGTTTTGGCTCAGAGCTCTTTCTATTAGTTTGGAGTCACAGCCTTGTTGCTGTCAGAGTCCCCAGGCAGCACAGGGCATCTTAGAATGAGAGAGAAACACAGGCCCTTGTGCATGTGTCTGTCAGGCTCCTCCTCTTCTTGTATGGCCAGCAATCCTCCCATGAGGGGCACCGCCCTGATGAGCTCACTATGCTGTCACTCCCCAAGGCCCCACTGCTAAGTATTGAGTCAATTATACTTCCATTTATTTTCTCCCTTGATGTTTCCATTGTCTGAATACCTGAGATTAAGTGTCAACATGGGACAGGAACAAAATACCCAAACTGTAGCAGTCTGTAAAATGAAGTGGTATTAGCAATTTTGATTGTATGTGCTGTCTCTCTCTCTAGCAATTTTGATTGTATGTGCTCTCTCTCTCTCTCTCTCTCTCTCACACACACACACACACACGCACGCACGCGCGCGCGCGCGCGCGCGCGCATGTGCTCCTCATAGACCATTAGGGAGGTCAGTGGAGGAGGTGGGACATCCTGCTGTGGCACAGGATCTCTCACTGAACATGAAGCTGTCCTAGTCTGGCTGGCCAGTGGCCTTCTGAGATCCTCTTGTTTCTAGCACTCAGTGCTGGAGATATGGCCCTGGCTATTTTTATATGGATGCTGGGGGTTTGAACTTAGGACTCTGTGCTAGCACAAGTGTTTTTATGCACTAAGCCATCTCCTTGCCTCTTGAAATTTTAACAGAAGTAAGTAGTGGATTGAAGTTTTCAGTATGCAACTAGTGTTCAGGTCTCTAGTTTTACACCAGCACGTCATTTCTCTTGACTCTACTGAAATACACCAGTCTGAGCTATTGTGTGGGTCTCTAAATGCTCAGACACTCACTTTGTTTTTATTCACCATTAACAGGTAACATCCAGATATCCTGGATTGATGACACATCAGCCTTCGTTTCTCTCAGCCAGCCAGAACAAGTACAAATTGGTTAGTGTCCTAGACATTATTTTGCGTGTTAATGTGATGGGGGGTTCACCTTCAGTTTGAAAGCTGTGGTTTCAGGCAGCTGGTTCATTGGCATTGCTGCTTGGTTAATTTTGAGCTTGCCAGTGAAATAAAGGAAAAAATTAGTAAGTGCATCATACAGAGAAGTATTGTGGATTCATTATTCTAAAGATATTTAAACTGTGACTCAAGACCCCATGTATCATGTGACTGAATGTGGGGTTTGAAAATTTGGCAATAGGGCAAGGCTTCTGAGCATGCCATGACCAAACAATTGGAAATCAAATGCTAGTGAACTGGAGGCAGTGCTTGTCCATGTTGGCCATGGCTTCACTCCAGCTTTCATTCTGAGCACACAGCATGTGTGTCTGGTGCTGTGCTGCACACGCCCTCTGTGATGCGGCTTCCTCGTCAGCTGCCTGAAACACCTTGGATTCCAGATTGGCGTATGTTCTGATTGCAGTGTTTTAATGTACTTACAGTTTCCTGCTGTGCAGAAGCATAATGGTTTAATTATGGGAATCAAAGAGGTCACATTTTCTTACTGACAAATTAATTAATACAAATTTGGTTTATATTGTGTTAGATGAGCACATTCACCTCATTAGAATATAAATTATTTTTGTCTTTAACAAATGACAAAATTATATGTATACCAAAATGGGTTTTGTTGCTGTTGTATTTTTTTTTTTAAATGAAACAAAACAGAGCCTCACTATGTAGACCAGGCTGGCCTTGAACTCACAGAGCCTGCCTGTGCTTCCCAAGTGATGGGATTAAAGGTCTAAGCCACCACATCTGACTACCAAAGAATTGTTTTAATTTAGTTTTTTAATGACTTATTATCAGTAAATGTTTGATCAGTCTACCTATTTAAAGTTTTTATTATTTGGTGTGGTTTTTTGTTTTTGTTTTTTGTTTTTTTTTTGGTTTTTGAGATAGGAAGGGTTTTTCTGTGTAGCTTTGGAGCCTGTCCTGGAACTCACTCTGTAGACCAGGCTGTCCTGCATTCACAGAGATCCACCTGTCTCTGTCTCCCAAGTGTTGGGACTAAAGGCGTGAGCCACCAGTGTCTGGCATTTTTGTTTGTTTTTATTTTTTACTGTTTATTTTATTTGTATGGGTGTTTTGCTAGCATGTATTTCTGTTCACCACATATATGCCTAGTATCTGTGGAGGCCAGAAGAGGACATTGGATCCTATGAAACTGGAATTGGACCTCCTGAATCAGCAGCTTTTTGTGTTGTGTTGTTTTGAGACACGGTTTCTTTATGTAGCCCTGTCTGTCCTTGTTGTGAGCTGCCATGTGGATCCTGGAAGAGCAATGTGCTTTTAACCACTCAGCCATCTCTCCAGCTCATCACTGTTTTACATGCTTGTTTGTCCTGGGTCAGTTTCTCAGGTAGACAGGATTGCACTAGGAGGAGTTTCAGAACCCTGTGTTAGATGTAACACTTGGTCTGTTTCCTCACTTGCATCTGTTATGCTCCTGTCCTAGTGTGCCTTTTTCTAAAATAAATTGTAGATATACTTTGAGAATTTGAAGTAGCAAATTGAAGGGAGGGAGGCAGGGTAGCACCACCTGTTAGTCTTTACTCTTCCTTTTGTCTGTGGTTAGCTGTGATTTCTCCATGCCATTAAACCTGCATCAAATGTTCTTTTTACAAGCAAAGTGAATGACATTTTATTTGCTTCTAAATAGGCTTCTGAAGAGATGAATCACCACATCTTTTGTTGATCCTTAAAAAAATTTGACATTAATTCTACTACCTTTTTAAAGTTTGTTTATTCAGTTTTTTTCTTTTCTTTCTTTTAATGTAAAAGAGTATTTGCCTGCTTGTGTGTCTATGAACCACACATATGGGCCTAGTGATTTTGAAGGCTAGAAGAGGGCATCAGGTTCCCTGGGACTGGAGTTTCAGGTATTTGTGAGCCACCATGTAAGTGTTGAGAGTTGAGCCTGGGTCATCTACAAGAGCAGCTTGTTCTTTTAACCATGGAGCCATCACAGCTTCAGCTTCTAAGCATACTATCTTAAAGTGAAAAGGTCTTTGAATAAAAAATTGAGCATGTGTTTTTAAGTTACATATGTAATTGGATTTCAAGCACCTTGGTAATACTCATTTTAAAGGTGTGAACATTTTTAAGTGATGTGTCTGCTTTTTATTTGAAGTGCCAAATGCTAGCTTAATGCCATTTTGATGCTGTAATGCTTTAAAATTTTGAACTTCTACAAAGATGCAAACTCAGGTTGAGCTATTTTGATATTTCTCTTTAATTTTCAATATCTCAGGAATACAGGATTTGTTGTAGAGGTAAAAGCTTAGACTTGTGTCAGTACTATTCAGTCATGTGAAGTATGTGACGCCAACATTGCTATTTAACCTGCAGAGTTCTGTTTATCTCTGTATTATAAGCATGATAGTGTGGACCTGTTTGGGCTGTTGTGAACACTGACATTTACTAGCTTGGTGAGCTTGTATTCTGGCTGCTTGATAGCAGTGAAATTTCAGTGTGCTGTGTTCTTTATAAATACATGACAGCAAAGATCATATTAAATGTGGGCATAAAGGATGCTGCCTGTATATTTTCAGTTTTTGCTTGGACAAATGCTTTTACTCTCCATTCCTCCACTCTTCTTATAGAAGACTTATAATGCAAAGAATTCAGCTTATTAGAGCAATGATGATGCCTTCAGGGGGGATCAGGGACCAGAGATGCATGCTGTAGAGAGGCTGCAGGGTTAACAAAAAGAAAGTAAGGAGAACTCTGACTGAAGTGTGGCTACACCCACTCTGCTCAGTGTGCTTTCTGCATCAGTGACTAGAAGTAAGGAATGTTCAGGCTGTTAGTTGACTGACTTGGGGACTGATGGTAGCCCAGTCATTTGTCAGCATGTATCCTTGGGTGAGTTGCATAAACTCCTGGGCCACAGGTTTCTAGTCGGTTACAGGGTCATGATCACAGTCCCCACTCAGGTGGCTGCAAAGATGCATTGAAGTTGACACTAAGTTCCCAGCAGAGTCCTGGCAAACGGTCATGGCTTGTTAAGATGTTTAATTCTGGTCCTTTCTGTTGGCACTAGGGATGAGACTGTGTGAAAGTGTTTTGAAGTCTACAGAGCACCAACTAGTGTTATTGCACTAAAAAGCATAATTTGGTCATTCATGTATATGATTTATCAGTATTTTTTAATACTATTTTTGATGCCAAATAATGATTATTCCTTGACTTGCTGGAAAATTCTTTGAAAAGTAACTTTTTTGTTTTGTTTTGTTTGGTTTGGTTTTTCAAGAAAGGGTTTCTCTGTGTAGCTTTGGAGCCTATCCTGGCACTTGCTCTGGTGACCAGGCTGGCCTCGAATTCAGAGAGATCCACCTACCTCTGCCTCCCAAGTGCTGGGATTAAAGGCATGCACCACCAACGCCCGGCTGAAAAGTAATTTTTTAAAAAATGATTTATTCTATTGTGTGTGTGTGTGTGTGTGTGTGTGTGTGTGTGTGTGTTTATACATGTACACACATGAATGGGGTATCCGGAAAAAGTCAGAGAAGGATGTTGGATCCCCAGGAAATGGAGTTATACATGGTTGTGAGAGACCTGACTGAGAATTGGGAACCAAACCTGGGTCCTCTGGAAGAGCAGTGTGAGCATTTGCCATTGAGCTGGTTCTGTAGCCCTTGAGCAATAGCTTTTTGTGTCATTTTGTTTTGAAACAGGGTCTCTCTATGAAACTGTCCTAGATCTTGCTATGTATAACAGGCTTGTTTTGAACTCTGTCTCCTGGGTGCTAGGATTAGAACCACACCCTGCTCTCATAGTAACTTTTAAGCTAAGTATTTTATTTAGTGATACCGATGTCAGTAGTTATGTGTCAGAGTGATGTGGCCATGTGGTTTTGATTGTTTGGTTGTATTGCCTCCCTGAGGACAGTACTGGGTCCATCTTGTTTACCAATGACTACTTTGGGCCCAGTGTTCACTATAGTGTGAGTAAAATAAGTGGGTTTAAACAGGCAGTATAGGAACTAGGCTAAGAGGAAGTTATGACATTTGCTTTTCCCCTCCTAGATCAAGTAGATGCTTGTTATTTTTTATTCATTATTCAATATTTATTTAATGATAGTAGGGATGGAGCCCAGGGTCTCATGCTCTACCACTGAGTTATATCCAAAACCCTTTTTAAAGTTTGTTTTGGGACAGGGCCTTGGTACGTTGCCTAAGCAGGCCTTGATCCCATACTCTTTCTCCCTTAGCCTCCCAGCAGGTTATAGGTTTGTGCCACTGAGGCCAGTGACAATCTTTGAAGACACTGTTGTCTCCTTTGCCTGCATAAGACAATTTTTTTTACAAAGTCCCTGGCATTTCTACTGTGCTAAGCCTCTGAGCATAGCTTCCTTCACTGGAACTTACTCAGCTAATCCCTCTCTAGACTTGGGCTGCATCCTACTTCCAAGCCTCAGCTCTGTAGTATTATTTGCGGCTGTTTGTTTCAGCTTCCTTTGCAGAACTAGGTTTTGGCCGTTCCCCCCACCCACCAATGCCTGTAAAGCCTCTTTTCCTCAGTGTTCCCTTACTCTTATAGAGAGATAATATGCTCTGAGAGTGAGAATTTACCCATGTGGACCACAGGGGCCATTGTGTTCACAGTGGCTATTTGAACCTGGCCACTATCATGGGATTGGAGCAGTGATACACATGCTGGCAAGAACTGGAGATACCTTTTGTACTTGACAGATAGATCTTATGTCTGTTTTCTCTTTCTGATTTCTAAAACTGTGTGACTGCATCATTAAAAGACACTTTGAAGTTTTGTTTCTTATAGTATCGATTCTAATGATACTTTGAAGTTTGTTTCTTATAGTATCGATTCTAATGATACAAGGATCATGGGGTTATCTAAATTTGCTACAGATCCTGTTAATGTTACCTTAAACAAATTATACAAGCATTTCAGCGGAAACTGGGCCTGTCAGATCAATA